GGGGGGGGGGGGGGGGGGGGGGGGGGGGGGGGGGGGGGGGGGGGGGGGGGGGGGGGTCAGTATCGGGTGCCCAAGGCGAGGGAATTTTCAGATTTTCTGAGGCTGCCAACAGCAGCAGCAGTCGCGGCGGCAGCAGCCGTAGACCACCACCCCCAACGGTAGCACCGACCACCACCGACTTAAGACAACACACAACATCACCATCACCCCAACGACAACAACAGAGGCTTCTCACCACCGCCACGTGCACGAAAGGCTGCACGACGTCGCTCGTCCTCTCGGCGTAGGCCGTGGCCTCCAACGACCATGCACCCCCGAGTAACTCATGGATCTCTCCGTGTGCCCCGTCGTTGAAAGACTCCGTCAGAGCCATCCTGCAACCATAAAAAAAATAGCAAAATGATAGAAAAGACGCCCAACTAAACGAACGGCGAAGGAGCCGGCAGCTGACTTGATTCGAAAAATACATGGCATAAAAACAACGGAGGACTGGCGGGACGGTAAGAATAGATCCATCCCACGACGCGAAAACGCAGGGGATGTTCTGTATAGATAATCTGCTGCTACTTCGCGAGAACCATAATCCGCTTGCGGTCCTTGGTGTTTCTCACTGTACCTAGACCAGTATGGATACTAGGTAATGAGCGGAGACCGATCCGAATACGCAACAACTNGGGGGGGGGGGGGGGGGGGGGGGGGGGGGGGGGGGGGGGGGGGGGGGGGGGGGGGGGGGGGGGGGGGGGGGGGGGGGGGGGGATGTCCATCGGATTCGGACAGGGCGCACGAGCGTGGCTAGCTCCTCACCAACTAGTCTGCATGATGGCGTCCCGGTATTTCCGGCACCCGGAGGGCTTCCGGTGGTTCACGAAGCCCATCATGTGGTCGTTTCTCGTGAGGAACGGAGTCGGGTCGTTGTTCCAGGGGGCTTGAAGCATGCCGTAGGAGTTGCGCACAGTCGAGAACTCGGTGGCATCGATCATGTTGGGGATGTACCCAAACCGTCCCCGGGCGGGTGTTCGCAGGTTCTTTTGTTGACAAATAAGGAAGATAACGGGCCAGGGGGGCGGGGTACCGAGCAACGGTCAACGTTTTTTCATGTCCCAAAAAATATGTCGCCACCATAGAGACAAACTCGACAAAAGAACAAAATACATGAGAGGGGGAAGGGTGAGACGCGATCGCGGAGGAACCAAAGTTGGTTCTCTCTTCAGGAGAACCAGCACAGCCAACATTGGTCCTCTCTTCAGCGCGATTCGAACCAACATTTGCGCCTTTAATATTTTCGAGAGAGCTAGAGAACAACGACCTCCATCCTCAAGAGAGCCAACAGCATACGTTTCAGAACCACGTCGCAATGATGCTGTGTAAACCCACGGTTTCCTTCGAGGGTCACACATTCTCACGATACGGTAAGTCCTCGACAGCAGTGGGAAAGAAGGGTTAACCAACTCCACGCACACGAAACGCCATTTGATGCCCGTACTCGGTAGATACAGGGGTATCGAATAACTCAGCAGTCACCACCGTGGTAGCGACGGAAAGAAAAAAAAAAAGAGGCATTTCTCACGTTCTTAGGGGCGGCGGCACCGAACCAGTCGTCCGAAAAGATGGAGCTCGACCTGAAATTGCTCCAGTCGAAGAACGTGCCTTCAATGGTGAAGTCCCAGTAGGGGAGCGCGATGGCGGGGTTGATCGCCTGTAGCGACTGCTCGTACATGAGGGACACGGCGATGTGGGAGGTTACGAACCCGGCCCCGGCGTGCCAGTGGTCGCAGTCTGCGCGCCCGCCTGCATCATGACAGCGAGAACAACGAGAGAAAGATCGTCAGACCGGGGAGGGTACTTTGGGAGGGCAACGAGCAGATCAGGAGGAGAGGCAGAGATAAGGTGGGAGAGAGGAGGAGAGAGACAGAAGAGAGATAGTACAAGCAAGTAGCCAACCCAAGGATGATGGCGTGCTTCTGGTTCGTGATTGAGTCATGTACCCTGGGCCGGCGGAAATCGCTCCGTCCCGGCTTTGCTGGGATGCCTTGGTCAACGGTCCAACGAGTACGGCATGCGGTTAGAACGAGCATCACACACATACCGTAGTAGAGGTGGATCCGATTGAAGAAGTCCTTGCTGTAGTACTTGCTCCCGTACACCTGCTGGCCCACCGCGCTGGGCACGCGCTGCATGATGGACACCGCGTTGAAGAACGTCTCCCGGTCGCGGTCCGTCAGCGTCCGGATCTCTCGACGGACGTACTTCACCACGACCACGAAGTCGAGCGTGTTCTCGGGGTCCACGACGAGGCCGCTCGTGCTTGCTGTGCCGCCGCGAACCATCCTCGTGGCTCGGCTACCCGCCGACGACCGTCGCGACGACCCTGACCGCGAGGGACCGCTCTTTGCCGACACCGCCCCTTCCTCCTCCTCCTCCTCCTCCTCCTCCTCCTCCGCCGCCGCCGCCGCCGCCGCCGCTAGGGGGCGACGATCACGGCCGGGCGTTGCCTCTTCTTCTCGCTCGTCCTCCCCGTCGTCCCTCTGGATATACGCCCTCACGGAGCACTGTAGGGCACGTCATGTTTTTTTTTTTGTGTCATAAAATACACAGTTTCGGACTGGGGCTCCAAAGTTTCCGGTTTAACCCTTTCGTGACTACACCCCCGAATCGTGCATGCTAGCATGCACGATAACTCTTGTGCGACAATTTTCGAACCGAATTGAGCTGTGGGTACGCTGTGGGTACCTGCATCGACGACGGCTCGACGGTACGACTAGACCGCTCGAAAAGAAACAAAGTAACGACCGGGGACAGCAACAGCACGTCCCCTATACAGAAAATTGAAAGCCTGAGAGTTGCAATGCTCCGCAGCACCCTGCATCCCGCGCTGCTGTGGACCTCGAGTCCAGCACGCAGAAAAACGCGATCATGAGGCCATTTTTCCTCCTACTTGTTGCGATTTTTCGCACGAGCGCTTCGGACACCCCTGCTGCGGAATCGGACTACATCCTTGCGTCGCACGTTGGCATGGGACAGCAACAGCACGTGCCCCCGTGCCTTCGCGTTTTTGAGAGGGTTTTCGTGACTTCAGGGACGATAGTATGCATGATATTCCCTGTCTTTATCTGGTACGAAAGAGCATGCTCTCGCTGTTGTATGCCCTTCCTTGCCTTGGGAACGTGGTTGCAGAACTGAGGGCCAAGCTTACGAGGCCTTTCCCCGAGTTCTCCTGCGTGTTTATGTGTGTGTATTCCTTGTCCCTCTTCAACCAACTGCCACCACAAGGCATAGTCTATCTCTCGCGCGGCTCGTGCTGCTGCTGCCGCGGGCTGCTGCTGCTGCTGCTGCCGCTTGCTTGGGCATTTTGATGCATGCATCCCAACAAACCGTACTTCCGTGTGTGCTTCTTCTCTCCAAAGGCATTCCCATCCAACCAAGTGGCATGGGAGGCGGTGCCATTCCTTGCGCCAGTGTGCTGTTTCGGCGGCGGGGTAGCGTGACATGCAGAACGGCTGTGCAAAAGATGCATGTCTACTGCTGCTGCTGTATGCATGTATGCCATCATCATGTAATCGTGTTTGGGGTAAAGAAATACGGCGCCCTCTCCTCTCTCTCCTCCGCTTTCCGACAGCACCTACATACAGCAGTACAGCAGTAGATCAGTCACCCATCACAGTCTTCACGTGGTGAGGGTTCCGCTGCTGGTGGGCACTAAACCTTTGTGGCACCACGGGGTGCGCGCGGTTGACCGTGTGGGAATCTGTTCGTGCCAGGGTTCGTGCGCACGTTCAAGCGTGTGTGTCGTGTGTGTCTCATGACTCAGCGGTCTATTCGATCCCGGCAGAACAAAAAAAAAAGCGAAAGATCCAGAAAGGACCCAGCAGTCACGAAAGGGATAAGGACGCGGATTTTGTGAAAGAAAGTTTCCTGGAAACTTCGTGCAGGTGAAACTTTTCATTTTGAGGCGGCTTCACGTGATTGGCTGTGGGTCAACGCTACACCCAAGAGCTTCCCCTGTCCGCAGGTGCTGTTGTTTTTTCGTGGTGCGCTGCGTGACAGCTGTTTATGTGCACCTTGATTGCAAGGGGCTCTCACTGCTGCTGCTGCTGTGGAGTGTGCGTGCATGCGTGCGCGTGTCCGTGTCAGCGTCGCTCCCTCAACCCCACCACACGAAATCGCACCGCACCAGTACAGAGATAGGAAGTGATTACTGTACACTGGCCGACAGCCCCTGAACGAAGTGTAATGCCACGTTTCAAGCGTTCGGGGGAGACACGGGGGGGTTGGGACCGGGAGGCACATCCGAGTCAAACGCTCTTCTTTCTAGTAGGCACCAGAGAAAATACTCTTGCGAGCGGAAGGACGCGCCCGCCTTCACCAGGAGGCCACTACGCGCTGTTCCTCCTCTCTGCTCTTCTTCTTTGCTGGCGGCGTTGCCACCACCTCTATGTTCGTGAGTTCTTCCTTCCCTTCGCCTCAATCTGACGGGCGAGTTGCTGACCTCAAGCCAGCCGCAAACAAACCCCACTTTCTGACCGTGCAACCTCCCTGTTCGTGTGTTGGTGGAGCGCCAACTCGAAGTCATTTCGCTGGGCGCTGGTTTTCTCTTCGGCCGCGCGGACATGTTCTCAGTAGACCGCGGTGTGAGCGTGCGGTGGTGCTTGTGATGTGTTACTTTGAAGAAAGTTGCTACATCGAAAAATCGTGATTTTTTTTCCACAAACCGAGCCTCCCTCGGCTCTTCAATCTGCAATTTTTTTCCTTGTTGTGGGTTCTGGCGAGACTGTCAGGAGCGATCCTCAGAACGACGGCTTAACTCAAAATGTATTTCCTTAATTTGGAAAATGCTTTGAGTCCGAAACTGTCAAATGTCACGTGCACAAAAAAGAAAAAATAATAAAGGAAACGAAAAGAAAGAGACAGAACTAAACAAAAAAATGAAAATAAATGGGTACGTTCTCCGAAAGTCGTCAACGAACATGGTCTTCGAAAGCAGGGGTAAAGCGTGACAAAAACCGGAGGGAGGCGGTGTTACGTTGTCATCACGCTACTTCGGGGGACTGGCACGGCGGTCGTCACGGAACCACGTTTTTTCACGGTAGTACGAGAATACCCATGGATACATGGTTTAAGTTGCACGTGTTGGAGGATGTACATCGACAAATGCTGCACGTGTTGCAGTTGCAGCAATACTTACGTGGAGGAGGCGCGCCAATGCAGGGGAACGGTGCCTCCGTGGCTACCAATGCTCGATAAGAGACACTGTAGATGTTTCCTTCTCTTACGATTCCCGCACCCTCATCCCTTCCGCACGTGGCCCTTGTCTGTTTTTCGAACCCGGTAACTTGCCTGGTATGCCCCTGGTTTCTTGAACACCATGTTGGTCACAGCGCCGGTTCCGATATCCTCATCATTCACAGACCATCTGCACCGATCGACGTTGTTGTCGTTGAAAGTGATGCAAAAAAACAAGCACCAGAAGATCGAAAACAACAACGGGCAGCTTTTTGAGACGGATTTGAATTTTGATCGGTTCGAGTGGAAAACCCCGAACAGTAAGCAAGAACAAAACAACACAAAGACAGCAGCGGAAAAACGGCAAAAGAAAAAAAAAGAAAAAACCAGAAGAGAAGGAGAGACAATAAATTTAACATTAGAACCTAAAGTAAATAATTATTTAGATCATATACAACAATTAAACAAAACATTAATTTTTAGTTTTCCTTGTTTGGTCGCTTTCAACATATTTCAAAAACATACAAATAAACAATTATGGAAAAACATAGAGGCATGTTGTACCACGGAATCACGTAGGGGGGGGGGTCTAACGAGTGGACAAGAGACACCACAGTAGCAGGACATGGTGACCAGCAGCCGCGCCGGTAAAATTAAAGAGCGGGGCGGCCGCACTGCCGAGCACCTTCCGCAATCAACCAATAATACACGCCCGTGTGTATTCTTGCCACGCCCGTTCTTTGAACAAATGAATAGCGAGGACACAAAACGACATGCTCCATGAATTTGGGCGACACGACTCATCTTGGTCCGAGAACGAAAGACATCGTGTGTCGTGTACCGGGGGGGGGGCGGCATCGTTGTGCAACATCGCACCAAGATTTTCCAAACGCAACAAACGGTGGTCGTCCGTGTTTAGGTCTATCTTCACACCACCACAGTACATTCCGATCGTTGTGTTGATTCACTCCACAACAAGGCATTCCGATCGCCGTCCATGCTCATTCAATTGATGTACGACGCCAAATTGGTGTGCGATCCCGAGGCTTACGCACTGAGCAGGTACAGGATAAAAGGAATAAAAAAACACGGCGAGGAATTAGATAAACTAAACTGCGGCAAACGCACAACATGGAACGCTTTAACACCGGTGGGACACAAGCGGCCAACGGGCCTGTCCTTCACACCACCGTTGCTCTCCTTGTACAACTGCCGCTGCACCACACCAGCACAGACGCAAGAAAGGGTACCAATGCTCTGTGGAAGCAGACTTGCAACACAAGTATTGTCGGAAACACCCAAATCTTCAAGAAAACAAATCGCATCGGAACGTCGAAAGAAGGGCGTTGTATATGCATACCCTGCACTTTACTACACCCATCGAAGTGGAGGCTGCAAGCAAGCGCGAGCACTCACACGGGAAGGCGCAAGAACTGCTCCATATCGGTATGAAACTCGTACCTACTCCGCCAAATAACGTTTTTTCTCAGGGCTCTGTGTGCCAGGGAAACACAACGCTCCAGCTGCACACGCTTGCGTGACGGGTATGAGCGGGATCGGTTGAAGCACACGTACGTGCCGGGCACCACCGAGAGCTTTGTACGCGTGCACGCACTAGTCTACGCAGCGAAATTGATTGAGCAAACATATGAGATAAAGTATTCAAAGCGTCCGTGCTTTGGGGTTAGGGTTATGGATAGGGTCTGCGCGCCCGTGCACGAGGCGGGGTTAAGAGCTCCGCCAGCAGCTACAACTTCGCTGGCGGAGCCGCTACTCAGCACGGAGCAATACTGCTGCTGCTGCTGCTGCTGCTGCTGTTCTCGACCACCAAATCCTCACTGCTGTAGGGGGACGCGGGCGGACCTACCGCTGTAGTCCTCGTATCATCGGGTGACAGCGTAGCAGAAGGTTGCACCGCTTGCGTATCGGCGCTGTTCTTCATACCGCTACAAGCATGTAAGTACTACAGTAGAGCGAGCCACGATACACCGAGCTTCGTGTGCAAGTATGGCTAAGGTCGCAGTGCATGGTTGTTCGTCCCATGAATTGACGTGCTGCTGTTGGTATCTTTGTCTGGGGGCTTCAGCCGCAGTCAACCTCAGGAGGAAGGGCACGCCATGTAACACGACCATATGGTGCCTGCTGTTCTCCAAAAAAAAAAGAAGTAATTCCTGCGGGCCACCATGAAGTTGCAAGAACTCAGTCCCCCTACACCCGCTTTCGCCGGCGACGTCAAGAATGCACTTTTTCCCCTCTGCGTTCCTACTGCCTGCAGCGCAAAATGCAGAGCTGTGGCCGCCAGTGCGGAGGTTGATATCAGAACACTGCGCGCGAGTGTTGCATGACGAACGCTGTAAGAACTTACGAATAGAGGGGCTCTTCTGTGTGCCCACGGGTTGGAGTAAACGGCACCAGTGCTGTGAGCGCTGATTTGAAGTGAAGACAAAAAAAAAAAATAGTCTCCAAGTGGGGAACGGAGACAATCAAGTCTCCAATTGCGGGACGGACATGAATCACACGAACTTTCACACCGAATAAATGAAGCGCGCAGCGTAGGTAGACGATAATTACCACAGCTGTCCGTGTGCACCATGTGCAATCGCCCGTGAGGGTTTGCGGCGCCCTCTGCCTGTATGTTTGTTGTCATGACTGGGCCCTATTAGAAAATTTACAGAAGATTAGAAGTACACCTAAGCGCAGTTCCTCTGGTTCGTGGAGGTGTGTCCGTGATCCCCGCCGCGCGCGCCAAAGAGTCAGCCCACAGCCACTGCTTGCGCGGAACCACAAAATACAAGATGGTACACAGAAGAAAGATACAAGAAGAGCTAGGAGGAACAGCTCAACAGCCGGTGTGTGTGCGTGCAACACACATCGAACTTCGTCGTGCTTTGGTGATACATTGTACAACGTACCGCCGCGAAGCTGTCATGAGAGTTCGCATGAGGTGCACTGCGTAGTGTACACGAGAGTGTCACTCCGCAATCTGCTGAGCTGAGCAACAAAAGTGGGTGGCAACAAATAACACTCGCAATGATGGATTCCCGCCCCTCCTGGCTAACTTGTATGCGCTGCGCGGGAGTTGGGTCAGTATTGGAATCGTCACACACGAGCACCGAGTCCGGCGCCTCCATCACGAAACCACACTGACTCGCACCTGGTGCTAGGTTGTTGGTAATCGCATTAATTCGAGCGAAGCGAGATTTCTAATCTCGACTGAAATATACCGCTTCAGTCAGGAAAAAAGTTTGCAAGTGCGTGTGTCTGTTCGCTTCGACTTGGTTTTAGACTACATGACTTGATTTTAGAGTTAAGGGATCAGCAGATGCACTTTTTTTTCCCGGAGCACACTGGATTGCAGCAGACAACACGCGCACTGCGGGCGACACCACACAGCAGACAACACACGCACAGCAGACAGCGTACGCATAACAGGCGACACACCCGCACAGCGGGTGACAGCATCTGGGCTCGATGGCGCTGGACTTTCTGTGGTGTGATGAGGCTATGCATTGCCCTATTGCTCTGTCACGCATGTTTTTGTTGTACCGCCGCGTGCAACTGCCAGCAATGTGAGCGCAGCACCTCATTAGTTATCGGAACCTGGGACGCCGATCGACATTGTGCCACTTGGAGCGTGTTGTCATTGTCATGTCTGTGGGCGTGATAGTCGTGTTCGGCATGGGTGCTGTATGTGGCGAGAGCATGGTGGCAATGTGAAATGCGGTTTGGCTTTTCCGCCTGGGGCGATGCGGCCCGATTGCCCGGGCCAAAAAGAAATGATTTGGATTCCACGCCGCCACGACGATCATCTTCCCACACACAGCACCCATGCCTACCACAACTGTCACGCCCAGAGAAATCGCAATGGAGCACACGCTCAAGTGGTGCCATGACGATTGGTGCGCTAGGTGACGACAGCTGACTTGTGTCCTGCTGTTTCGCTGGCAGTTGGAAAAACATAGAACGAGGGAAAGGGGTTCACCAAGAGTATGCGGGGGGAATGTATGACCACGAAAGCGGGATGTGGACGGGGAAGGGGGGTAACCGGTAGGTGAAAGTTAACGTTGCAACAGCTCTCACACCAACACACCAGGTAGTGGGTGTGGTATCAAGCGTGTTGTGTTTTCACTCGGTTTTCGCCCGTGAACGCACAAGCCTGACGGCAGTTACATGTATAAGCCGTCGCTCGTTGTAGCGACAGCTAGTATATCTTTTCCTCGAGTAAGTGCTACGTTTACGTTCGTATTTCATTCGTATTATCCAACAGGCCTTCTGAGATGTTACACGTACAAGTTGTACGCTTGAAAGAGCCACGCCGGACGATACAGCAACGACAACAGTGGTAGAAAAGCCCACGAAATCACAACCATGGTAGGTAGTGCACGTTGCTGTCATGCGTCCACGTCATATTCCAGTTGCCACGAGGCAAAGCAGTGCCGTGCTGTTGCCTGCTCGGAAAGCGGCATTAAGAACTTGCTAATATTATAGGGTTAGATTATTAACGAACAGAAAATCACGGAACGTTTCACGGAATCGTTATCTCTTGAACATATATGGAGGCGTTTTCCCCCGCAAAACGTGAAAAGAAGGAGCCGGGATTTTTGGGGGCTTGCTACTTTCACGGATCCGTGTTTTTGACAGAAGCATCGGACAAGCGCACCGCGGGGCGCTGTAACATCACTGTGAACGCTAGAAAGACCTGCCAGACTCACGTCCAGATCTGTTGTGGAGATGGACAAGCGGCAGAAGCGGCGATTAGTCCGTTCTTGGTCAAAAACTAAACATTTCGTGGTGCCTCGTCTTCAACTGCTGCTGTTGGTGCTGGGGAATTTTTTTCAATCACACATTGCGAACACGGAAACAGTACAACGAGTACAGCAGCAGCACCAAGACCTCCAAGACGCTGATTCCTTCGGTTCGGCTGTCTATATGATACCATCTCCCGGCGCCGTGCTGCTTCGTGGGTATTGGGTGCTTGGGTGCTGCTCAAAAAGGTGTGTGAGAGACGTGTGCCACCTCACCAAAATGCCGTTGGAAAAAATGCGGCGAGATGATCTGTTTTTGGTCGGACACGTCAACATCAATCCACGGCACCACGCAGCAGAAGGCCAACAGGGTCCCCGACACGCTAATTCTTTCGGATTGGCCATCTATATGATGCTGGCCGTCAGCGCGGCTGCCGCCCTATGATCGTTGAGCACGTCTACCTTCGGGCAGTTGGTGGTCAAAGATGGGAATTGCAACCGTGAAAATGAGCTGGCAAACTGAAGAAATCGCAAGCAACAACCCAGGTTGCGACAATCTGCCCTGCGCCTGTTGTTGCTGAAAACTGAAAACAGCAGGCCGGGTGGATAGGATCTTCCTAAGTGTTTTGTCCTCTGTGTTGGTTGCTGCTCATTTCGCTTTCACCGCTGCTCTATGGTGAGCAACACCAAGTCAACCTGTTGTGTGCCGAGCAAAGCGTGTATTCAGGGAAGGAAACGTACTTTT